TGCCTCATGAGGACCCTTGTATACACCTGGTTTGACCTCATAACAAAGTTTCCACCAGAGGCAGCCCCATTGGCTGCTGCCTGGTGCTTCCTAATGACATCACCTTCCCAGGTGAGGGAACTAGTCACATGACCTGCAGTGGTAGGGAAACTGAGACAGTGGGAGCAGGTTCCCCCTCCCTCAGGAATGTCTCCAGCATAGGTCACAACTCGGTGTTAAATGAAACAGATGGGGGAAGAGCTGCCTGCTCAGCAGTGAGGCAGATGGAGGGGCGGTTCTTTCATAGAGGGCGTGGCTCCAGCCAGTGCAGCATGCAGGGCGAATTGCCCATCAAGAATGATGGCAAGGAAGGAGTGCCACCATGACAGAGGGGATGGAGCGGTGGGGTGGCGTGGGGCTGGATGCAGGGAGGGAGGGGGGAATGACGGCGCGGATGGAGTGGAGGTGTCACAGGGTGGTAGCAGCATGGTGCTGGCCTTGCCCCCACCTCCGTTCCCTCCATCCTTGCTGTCATGGCAATGCCCTGTCCCCGCCGTCATTCTTGATGGGCAATTTGCTAGTATTGTACAATAGGTTTTTAAGAAGAACTTTCTGCTTATTTATTTTAAATTGGCCAAGTAAATTGGTAACTAGCACACTTAAATACATTTTACTTATGCATATAAATAGTCCTACTGATGATAACTGAACTGCTTGTCTGCATAAAGCCAAGTATAATTTTTAATGTTTGTGTGATTGGAACGTAAACTGGGAGTGGAAGAATAAGCTGTTACCTTTCCCAAAGCTAGGTCTATCCCCTAAAATGTTGTCAGGATATCTCCTTATTGGCATATCTGTGTTGACAGACCTGTTCACTTAGATTCAGTTTTTACAGCAAGAGTTCTTTTGTTTGCATAGCTAATGTTGCCTGGGAGGTAGGTTTATATGGGCCAAAGAAATTTGTATAAATTGTGTCTTCCGTTGGTGGCTTAGCCTTCTATATACCCTCTATATACCAGCCAAATAAATTTGTGTAAGCTGTGTCCCCCATTGGTGGCCTAGCCTCCATTCATTGAAGGGGTTGGGCCCTACTCTGAGGCTTCCTTTAATTGATGGCTAAGATACTGTGGTTTAGCTTTCAGCAACTGTCCACCTACTGTTATTTACCAGATATTATCACAGAGCAGGTGATGTGAGGAAGAACCTTGTTCTCTTTTAATTTATAATTTGTTTTCTGTACCTTTGTAGTGTAGTGACCCTGGGTATTGTTAATATACTTATAATGCATGGACTAACCAAGCATGTTACATTGAGTTAAAAGGGGCAAGAATTTTTTGTTCCTGTGTTGTGTAATTGAACACTAAACCAAGACATTTTACCCCTGAATGAAGCGGAATTAAGTTACTGCAGGCACTTGGACAGTTACTGTGCATTACTTGCCCTGTAATAAGTCCCTGCCCCTTTTTAAGTTGCTGTGATTTTTCTATGCCTGCACACATGTTAATAGTACAATTAGATCTTTAAATAGTTCCTCAGATAAACATTTCATCATGCTTGAGAGTAATGTTAATTTAGGGTCGAGGGTTAGTGATGAAAGATGATTTTTGTACCACCTAGAACTCATTCTTTAGATACTACAGAAATCTAGAGGGGGGCAGCTGCATTTGGGTGGGAGTTCAAGCTACTGAAATAATTGGATCTAATAGCTGTAATCAATTATTTGCTCTTACCCATAGTAATATCCAAGAAAATTATTATTCAGACTAACTGAACCCAAGTACTCAAATCAGTATTTATAAAATTATAGGCTCTGCAAGTTTGTGGGAATACCAGTTGCCAAATATTGAATTGTAGTTTGACACATGGGATACTTTTACTAGGTTTGCATTATGAATTTTTAATATGTCTTTGCAGCTAGATATTTTAAGGAAAACTAATTTAGATATATGAAAATCTTTAATTGGCTACCACCACTCTACAGTTAAATTAGTTTTTATTATAAATCTACCTTTCACCCCCTTAGGTTCCTAAAAGAAACTTATCTTCCAGCATACTATATTCTACATATGACTATATACCTTACGGTGGAAGAGTTCAGTTGTTTCTATTTTGCATTGTGCTCTACAGGTTTCCCTCGCCAACTGCTGGGGTTAGGTTCCTGAAAATTCCCATGGTTAGCAAGACAAAAGACTTATGGGAAAAACGACAGGTTGCAGTCTGATGCGCGGCTACGGAAAACCGTGGTTACTCAAAACTGTATACCGTGGTAGCCAAAATGGTATATAGAATATTAAGCGTGGATACTCAAAACCGTGGTTGGCGAGGGAAACCTGTACTTCCTATTACTATGGCTGCAGTCTAAGAGGATGGGGATCATGTCTGTACAATGTACAGTAAAAGCTCTATTAACTGGCATCCATGGGGAATGGGGCCAGTTAGTCAAATATGCCAGTTATCTGAGAATTTTTTTCAAGAAAGAAACTAAGCCTTCATTTTAACTGATGTAACAACTTTTAATATAACATTTTAATATAACATTATTATAACTTTTAATGTAACTTTTAACTATGATATAGCAACTTTAAATATTTTAACTATGATATAAGGAATAATAAAGTAAATAGTATACTGTACTATTACTACCCCTCAGCTGCTTCTGAAGGCACCTTGGGATCAGAGGTTGCCTCAGAATGTGGCTCTGCTTCGGTGTGCGCCTCTTCTTGAGGATCATCAACGTCAATATCTGATCCTTGACACAAGCTGCCTGAATCCTTGACACAAGCTGCAGAGCTCTTTGAAGCAACCTGCGGATGTCTGCCTGCCTGCAAGTCAGTTGGCTTTTTTCAGGAAATCGTTGTGAACAACATGAAGTTGCATCACTTCCTGAGCAGAATAAGAAGACTGCTGCTCAGCAAATTTCAAGAATATTTCCAGACATTGTGCAGCAGTAGCCCAAGCCACTTTAGTTTCTTCACTGTGGTCTTCTTCTGAGTCTTATTCAGGTGCAGTAGATCTGTCAGGGTGCACAATCTCTTCCATAATTTCAGCATCAGTAAGGGTTTGTGCAGCATCAAGGTCTTGATCAATTGTTCACCCACTCTTCAGGTTCAGTATCTTTGAGTTTAGTGAGGTCAGCATTTTGAAGGATATCAAGAATCTCTTTTAATGATTCTTTTTTATGTCTCACATTGAAACCTGCAAACTCTTCTTCGTCAGAAGATCCCTCTGCAAACATCACTGCTGCCCACAATTTTCTCCAAGCTTTCCTTAAAGTTGTACTCTTCACAGCACACCAGGCACACGCTACATTGAAAATTGCATCCTTAATGGTATACTGTGACTGAAATTCTTGGAGACTGCCTTCATAGTCGAGTAGCTCCTTCATAAAATCCCTTCTGTAGATGGATTTCAGGTTTTTGATAATTCCCTGATCCATAGACTGTATGAGTGAGGTGACATTTGCAGGCAGGAAGATGGTAAAAATATTTCCAGATGCTAACTCTGCTTCAGGAGGGTGAGCTCAACAGTTATCTAAAATCAGAATACCTTTTGTGCCTTCTGGCTTTTCTTCAGATTCTTCAGATGCTCTTTCACTGCTGGTACAAAGACATAGTAAAACCAGTGCAAAAATATTTCCTTGTCCATCCATGCATTAGGTTGTGCCTTGTACTCAACAGGTAGATGAATGACACCCTTGAATGCTCTTGGTCGCCTGAATTTTCCAACCACTAGTAACTTGATTCTGTGTGTGCCTGCTGCATTTGCACACGTCAGTAGTCAGGCAGTCCTTGCTGTGCTTAAAACCAGCTGCACCAACTTCACCTGCACCAGCCAGGGTAGAAGTTGACAAACAACACCAAAAAAGGCCAGTTTCATCAGCGTTGTAGATCTGCTCTGGGGATATGCCATGCCCCACAACCAATTTCTGGAAAAATCCACTATATTTTCCAACAGCCTTGTGATCAGCAGATTTTTTTCTCCAGACACATCAAGTCTACTGATACCATGGTGAAGTTTGAAGCAAGACAACCATCCATCTGAAAAAACACAGGCCTCGGTCATTCCCATTTATTGATAGAAGTCTTTTGCTTTTTTGATCAGCATTGGGCCAGAAATTGGAGCTCCCTCTGAACGTTTTAAAGCAAACCATTCGTACGATATGTTGTCTAATTGTTTCAGTTTTGATTTGTGCAGAGTATGGCGTTGATCAATTGCTTTACTTGTCTCAGAATTCGTCACAAACTGGAGTAACTCTGCCCTCTGTGCCTTGACGTCATAGATCATAGATGAGCTGACATTGAATTTCTGCATCAACCTGTTCCTGTTTTCTCCTTGTTCCAGCTGCTTAATTAGGTCCAATTTCTGCGTAATCGTCAAAACAACACGCTTTCACTTCTGTCCTCTGCTTGTTGATAGAGTATTGGTAGCCATAGTTGCAGGATGGGTGAGATATTCAGCAATGAAGTCACAGCAAAAGCACAGGCACAAGCTCAACGCGATCACAATGTGATCACAATGGCGGATGAGACTGCTGCTAGTGACGCTACTTGGCTGCGTCCCAAACAGCAAGATGGTATCAGTGACAGATGCCGGTTAATAGAGAATTCTGGATGGTAAAGTCCCGGGTAACGCAGCTTTTACTGTACCTTTACTTGCATATGAAGCAGGGTCAAACATTTTTAAGAGTATTATGTAAATATAAATGGACGTGCTGCTGACTCCTTGAATAATTTGGAGAGTGGGTATGTAAATGTGGGGGGAAATATAGTAGAATAGGAATTCAAGGGGTACGTACTGAAGGAACAGATGACTGGAGGATGTGGATTGGGAGATAGGAGACTGTTTACCTCATCTTGGAATGAAGGACCCCGAGGAGGGCAAAGTATAGTTAAAGAGATTTTTCAAGACAGTAAAAGGGCAAGGAAGCAGAAGAATGGAAAGGCCCATTCTCATTCATTAACTCCTTAAAATATTCTTCTGTGCATATTATGTTAGTTAGAGTGATATTATAGCTGTGATGATCCAGAAATTATGCTAGAGGCAAGGATTTCTTAGGGCGATATCTTTTATTGGACTTAAGTAGTTGGGATGAAACTAGACCTGCTTTTGAATGCAAAATATGCATCTATTGTATGTGCTTATTAACATTTATATCTAAAAATATAATTATTTAAGCACTTCAGAGTTTGAGCAGGTAGGTAAAAGCCTGCCATTCAGATTTTGTTCCATTCCTCCATTTCCTGTAGAGTTATAAAACTCTGCAGAAGGGAAACCCTGTTTTGGTGGACCAGAAAGTATTTTTCAGGACAGACTTGAAAATTTGCAAGTAAAATGTATGTGTAGAGTTAAGTTTGTGTGTCTTGTAAGGCAGTTGGAATTCTTCCACTGACTTGGAGATGGGCATTAAGTACATTGCTGTTAGCTCTTATATTAGAATTTGACAGCTCCTGTCTTCCATTCTTGTTATCAGACGATACTTCAGTCTTATTTAGTAAATAGGATGAAGAATATTTGACAATTGAATGGTATAATAAATGGACAACTATGAATCATTTCAAACTGTATCATATCAATTGCATTTTCATCTGTCTTGTTATAATCAACAATTTTTACAGGTAGTCGGTGTTTTTATTTTCCCAGTAGAAAATTGAAAACCCGCCCGGACTGTTTTCACCCTATTTATTAGAGACTTGAATGTTCCATTCACTACCTCTGGCTTGTGGGAATGGAAAATAACAGAGAAGAGAAAAATGTGACTTATGTAATTTTAGGTTCTTTTATGCAGTGTTGTTCTACGTTGACTCTTAGTTTTGATTAGAAAAATAGAACTTGTTAACTGTTTAAATGGAATAGTTTGTAGGGAGATGAGGAAGGATAAAATCTTGATAAAGGGATTAATGTATCTTACAAAGCTGACACTTCGATAGCAACATCTCCCCCAAAGTGGAAAAAAATACTGCTCTTTCAGGAACATCTCCATGAGTTGTGGTAAATGTAACATTTGTAGGTGTTCTTTGTTTAAATTCAGTTTCCGCAAAAGTGGTTTAACAGAGGTATTTGAATTCTAGGAAATAAAGGGGAGATTTCATTACAGTGAGTGGAATTAATTTACTTTTTTGTTAAATTATTCTGAGTGAAGAGAGCCTTAGGAGTTTATTACTTGGGAAATGATAAATGCAATAAGATTGGGTTGGGGGAGTATGTGGATGTAAACCCCTGGAAAAACTTTGGTACTGGAAGAGCAGTTTGGCTAGTTTATTAGCTTGGGTATTAGGAGGGCCCTATCACTAGTACTACACTTGTGCTCTAAATTATTTGATGTTTCTTTGTGTTCAGTTTGATTTGTATTGCAAATCTAATTTTATTCTACTTTTCAAATTTGTTTAGTATAATTTTGAAAATGCAACTCAGACATTTGATGATCTGCCAGCCAGGTTTGGCTATCGATTACCGGCTGAAGGCTTGAAGGTAAGAAATCTCTGAATACACAGAAAAAAGTATAATCTAAAAAAAAATATTGAATGAGATGATTTTGTTGGAATTTGTTTTAAGTACTAGGTAAATAATAAACACATATGCATGCGTGTACAAGTACTGAATAATCAGCTAAGAGCAGGTGCATCTTAAGTTTGTTCATGTAACCAACCATCTCTTTTTTTGCTACATAATGAGTCTTTAAAATCCAGAATTTTTTCAGTTGATATAGTCTTTCCTTGGAGTGCAAAGCCACACAAGAACTATTCTTGCCTGTAGAAAATAAGGTTTTCAGAAAAATGGCTTGAATTATTACATTTTATTTTTATTGACTTGCTATTTCTTTTTGTAATAAACATTTATTTTAGTGGTGAGCTTCACATACTCGAGCATTTGTTGCATTGGTCCCCAACTGAGGTATGTATTAACAGACATGTACTGATCAAAAACTGTGTGCTTTAAGTATGTCTTGGAGATAGAGAGAAGCAAAGCAGTCTCGAAAGAGCTGTTTCCAAATGTGGATTCTAGTAAAGCTATCAGTGTTGTGTGATGCAGGGCAGAATACAAGAATGTATTTTTGTTTTACCATTGCACAAATGTGTAACAAGAAGCCAAAATGGGAGGAAAAAACTAGAAGGAGCAGAGGGTAATAGGAACCTGTTCTCTTCCTTATGCCTTGGGAGAATAGCTCATTATGCACTGTACCGCTTGAGGTAGAATGAACAGCAGTGTCAGCCCAGTCCCTTCTGAGGGAGTATTGACGTGCCCACCTCCATTCCACTTCAGTTAGTGGGAGTACACACTCCACCCTGTAACTGAGTGGCTCTTTGCTTGCATTCTCTAGAGTGCCTGAAGGCACTGTATCATCTTGGTGGACACTAGGAACTGAGCTTAGTGGGGACCTTTGTAGCCAAATCATTTGAATTAAACAGCTAGGTTTTTATGTTGAGAGCTGTAAGCAACTTGTATTTTCTATGAATTTTGCACAGGGAGGAATGCCATGTCAGCTTTTTTACACTGACCCTAAAACAGGGTAGTACCTTGAAGACGTAATCAGTCCCTGAGATTGTGATAAAAATGCAGATCTAGTATCGGATCTCTCACCTGGTGCCCAAATAACATGTGTTACCATATCACCTGGCGTAGCTTCCTAACTATACCTGTACACTCTGGCATCTGCAATTTGAAGATTCACCCCAAAATGATGGATCACACCAGTATGAATTCTGGACCCTGTAAATGCAGACCTTTTCACTTTTTGCCTCTAACCTGGTAAAATATCTTGACCTAGTCTGATGGAATTGTGGGTTAACAGTCAGAATCCCAGCCTGAAAGCCCCGTATGGAATGGAGAAATCCATGCAACCAGTGACATAAGAAAACTTCCTTCTTATAAGTCCCTGCCTTAGCAAGGGCTTGATACAAAGCTCTTTTAAATCAGTGGGAATCTTTCCACTAACTTAAATGGCTTTGCCTTAGTTCCTAATTGAGCAAAGTATTCTGTTTAGTTTGTCTTCCCAGAAGGCGCACATGGGACCATGCTAAACTCTTTTTTCATTTTTTTTCTACAACTGAAGCTGGCCTGAGCTTAAAACAGATGCATAGAACAGGAGAGGCTTAGTATGCATTGTTGCATTCACTAAAAACAGCACATTTTGATGGGTTTTGGAAGGTTTTTTATTTTTTAAATGCATGTCCTATCATGAAACTTGATGACTTTTTTTTTTTAATCGCGAGATTCCTAGTCCATCTCTCTGTATACTGATATTAGGTTAAACATCTTCACATTACATTTTTCCTATATGTAATTTCAAGAAAAATGAATCTGTGATCTGATGGCCACCTATAAGTTTATCAGGGGTGACCACCAGTATCTGGGGGAACGTTTGTTCACCAGAGCGCCCCAAGAGATGACAACTAGGTCGAATGGTCATAAACTACTACAAGACCGTTTCAGGCTGGACATAAGGAAGAATTTCTTTACTGTCCGAGCCCCCAAGGTCTGGAACAGCCTGCCACCGGAGGTGGTTCAAGCGCCTACATTGAACACCTTCAACAGCAAACTGGATGCTCATCTTGCTGGGATCCTATGACCCCAGCTGACTTCCTGCCCTTTGGGCAGGGGGCTGGACTCAATGATCTTCCGAGGTCCCTTCCAGCCCTAATGTCTATGAAATCTATGAAAAGAACCTTAATATAATATCATAGCTGTAACTTGTTTAGCAGAGTTATTTTTATGACCCTAATGCCCCCTCTACACGTTCAGGTAAAGGTGCAATAGGAGCTAATGTGTGCATGGCAGGAGGCCTGATTGTGGGATTGCACTTTAGAGTCCATTGCACCTTATTGCCGGTGCAGGGGAAGCACAGGATTAATAATCCTGGGCTCCGTCTGCCCTGGCAAGAAGCAAGCTCCTGTGGCTGGGAGCCCCCACAGTTCAGGGGCTCCCAACTGCAGGGGTGCAGTGCCAGTGTGCCGGTAGGGGTGGGGGATCTTGGCAGCTGTGATCTTGCTTGCTCAGGAGTGTGTGAAACCATGATCCCCTAGGCCCAAGGGTTTCACACACCCATGAGAATGGGAGATTGCAGTAGCTGTGATACCCTGGGCCCAGGCATTTCATGCTGGGAGCTGGTGGGGCTTCCCTGCTGCAGGGGAAACCCTGCTACAAATTAAAGCAAGTTAAAGCTTGATAACAACCAGTTATAAAGTTAGTACACATTTTTGAGTTCTAATTTTATAGCTGGTTGGAGCTTTTTGTCATGTGATATACACTTTGCACGACTACCTGGTCTTAAGGTAATTGCACAATTAATCAGTTAACTGTTCAGTAGCTGTAATGTGTAGAAGGGGCATAACATATCAGCTGCATTTTGACATAGGATTCACTAAATAGCTAGAGAAATAAAATCTTGCGGGTGTGTGTGCAAGTAATCTATGCAATGTGATATGTAGACTACAGCAGGTACACTGCTAGTTTTTTTTTTTTCCTTTAGTGATAAATTGTACCTGTAGTTCTTGGATCCAAACAAAAGCAAGCCTGTCTGTACTAAGCTCTCACTTGATTTTTTTTAGTGGGAACTTTGACTTGGTGTAAAACTTGGCTACAAGTCTAAGTTTTTTGGATTTTCTTTTATGTTATGGTGTATTAGTACAACACTATTAGATGTATGATTCTTCCCAGGTCTCAGGTCATAATGTGAAAACTTATAGGGGCAAGCACAAGGAGAAGATCCATTGGACTTCTTAATTGTAACTTACATTCTAAGACAGACTCAATTGTCTGAATTAGACCACCTTAAAGCATAATTGCAGAAAGCTATAGCTTCCATTGTATCAAAAATGGGCTTAAAAGCACCTGCCTATTCAAACCATAACATGATGCTAGGAGCAGTTGAGCTTGTATGACAAAAGATCCATTGAGGTAAAGCTCAGTAAAATATACCAGACTACAGCTAATGAGAATCTCATATACAGGTTTGGAAACTGTATGTTATGACTTGTATAAAGAAGTCAGTGTGAAAAAAGAGAGAGGACTGAGAGAGTCTGCTGCATGTGAGCTTCAGCAGTTGATACAAGCTACATCCTATGAATAACAGACAGGAAGCTCTATAGTTAGAGAAATTCAGTAATCTGATTTTGGTGGGAGAGAGGGGACTTGCTAAGCAACTAAAGAAAGACTTCCTGGTGCTCATCCAATGACAAAACCTGCATTGGTTTCAGTGGACTCAGGATTGACCCTGTGTTAGACTAACTTGATTAATAATGGCTCCTTAGATCCAGGTTAAAGCCAGTGCTTATAGAACTACAAAAAGTAGGGAGGCAGTGGGGAGCTAACTGTATAGTTACTGTGTGGCTACATCTGGATTGCAGCAAAACGTAGACTGGAGGCAGTTCATAGAAAAGCAGTTTCAAGAGCAGATATGGAAGGATGATAGAGGTAGAGTTGTTTTACGCAGAAGAATAAATAAAAAGTTAAATAAGCCTTTACCTGTCTAAACCAGTGGTGGCCAACCTTTTGTTCATCTCATGGGCTAGATTACCAGTGTCAAGTCTGTCCATGGGCCAGATTTGGCCTAGGCCCTGATCTGGGCTCACAGGCTCAGTCTCTGCCTGTGGGGATTTGGCCTGGGGTTTAGAAATTTGGTGGTAGGAGAACAGTGGCAATGTTAATTGCCACCATTCCCCTGCTGCCAGATTTCTGGACCCCTGGGGATCCCTGTGGGCATGATATGACTTCATGTGCCAGGTTTGGCCCACGGGCTCGGGGTTGAGCACCCATGGTCTAAACAACCGCCAATGAGGAAGTATAAGAGAGATTAAAAAATAATTTTAAAGTATGTTCTACCTAACAGTAAAATCCTACAGGCTGGTACTTAAAAATCAAGAAAATTAAACGGGAGATTAACTGCTTCATTAGTACAGGTTTCCCTTGATTTATGCTAGTTCCATATATGTGAATTCGCTCTTATGTGATCACCCTTTTCCTACCCAAAATTCCTTATATGTGAGGTAAATTCACTCTTATGAAATCGGGACTCTGCTTCTTCCCATTCATCCCAGCCCCTGGACTGTGCCATGCCGCGGTGCCGGCTGCTCCTGGGTCTGCTGCAGCAGCTGGGGTGAGTGGGGAGAAGTGGGGCCCCGGGAGGATTGGGGCACAGTTCAGCCCAGCGGCTACAGGCAGCTGGCATCGGCTGCTTTTTGGTTGCTGCAGCAGGGACTGGGGTGAGCGGGGAGAAGTAGAGGCCCCGGGCTGTGGCAGGCAGCAAGGCAGCAGGAACTGTGAGTGGGTGTGGGACCGGGGGGGGGTGCAGCTCTTGCTGCTATGCACCCCCCCAACAGGGCTGCGGGCTGGGGGGCTGTGCCAGGCTCTTCTCAGGGGGACACAGGCCCCCAGATCTGCAGGCTGGGGCCAGTGGCACCACCAGGCTCTCGGGCAGTTTGGGGGGGCTACAGCAAATTTTGGGGTGGCAGCAGCCCCCCCTCTCAGCACCG